TAAAATCAATAATCATCATATTGATACAATTTTAAAATGTTAATAAAAAAGTATTTGGATACATTTAAATGTCACCATTTATCTATTGTGTAACACGTGTGGTATTAACTTACGCTTTTATAGTAAATGTCAACATTATTACAATAAGTACATATCCAAAAAATAATATGTTCAACAAAAAAATTACCTTATAATTGGCCACGGTGTATATACCTATGTTATTTGATTTAAATATTGATAAATTTATTTCAGGTAATGAAATATATTTTATGTGAAAAAATAAATTTATATTTGTATTTTAGTAAAATATATTCCATAAATAAATGCGTATATTATGTATGTGTCGTATAAACATTATTATACGTACATTTTTCATTTAAACAATATTTTATGTAGTTTAGCGTATGTACATGAATGTTATGAATAATTAATCAATTACTGGTTATAAATATTTAAATGCATTTGCAGCCACGCGGAAAACATATCTTTGCTTAATGAGTTGTTAAAGTAATTCAATTAAAAATTGAAAAATTCAATTGGATGTAATCTTTGGTGTCTTTTTTTTCATTAATAACAATTATTAGCTTAAAGTAATATTTATAAAATATAATAAATTTTAACAAGTTGGAAGCGGATCTTTTTAAGTGGTTGAGTTTAGACAATACCTTATACGCTTGATATTATGCCTTGTGAGTGTATGCGTTAGTAAACGATTATTAATGTGTGTGTGACTTCCCCGAAATAATACGTTTCGACCTTATCAGCAAACGGACTGTCATTAATAATTACCGTTGTCGTTTATACGCCGCAACACATATAATATTATTCAATATTATTATTATTATTTATCAATTCATAATAACTAATAAGTATAACGCATTTGCAATTCGAGTTCGAGAATCATCAGTTGCCAAATTTTATAAAAAAAACAGGTTTAGGACGAATATTCATAACATCTAATTATTAATTAATTCAAGATGTATTAGAAATAAAATAAAAAGCTAAAGGTGCTATAATCATAACAAATAAATTCGTAAGTTTTATGGTAATTATATTTATATAATTTATCACAATAACTATAATAATAATTATCATACTACAACTATTGTAGTATTAAACTTTTTTTTTCGGGAATGCCTGGCCTTATTGGTAGTCCTCGATCAAACCTAGGATCGATTATTTCTGAAAGTAATGAATCCATATAAAATCGAATAACAATGCACTGAAATGCCTGAAACTTAACGTTAGATGTGACTCCTACAAGTAGTAAGTACCAAGTGTCGACTCAATCCATAGGTTACTGCGGCATAATCGTACAGTAAGTGTAAAAACTCATTACAGTATATATACCAAATTATAAATATAGGTCATACAATTTATTTGATTTCACAATAATAGGCATCTATATAATATTGTCGGTTCGCAGGCGGCTGGCGTTATGCGCCGGCATTTAACGTTTCGGGGAAACAATTAATGGTTCGCACGCGCATGCACAAGTTATAGCATTTGATGAAATAAAATATTTTGTTCCGGCAAAGAAACTGAAAATTAATCAAGCCTGACTAAAAAACGTCAACTCCAAATGATCGGATTTCAATTCTGTAAAAATATTTGAGTTGATCAACCTTTTTTCTAAGTTATTGTGGAAGTCGATTTTAGAATCACTGTTTAACATTCTTAAAAAAAACACTAAAGTAAATCTAAAAATTAAAAAAAAATTGAGAAACTCAAATAAGATTTAATGACAATTTTTAAACAAATTTCAAAAATCGATTTCCACATTAGCCTAGAAAAAAAGGTTGTTCCACTCAAATCTTTTTACAGAATTTGATTATGATGATTTTAAGTACGCGTAATCTTGTCAGGCTTTGGTCTACAACGTGAAATAAATACGCTGCTTCCGATCGCCTTAATATTATAATTATTGACAAGTTCATGAAGTTTTATTTCAAGGGGTGAGGGACCAAAACCTGCGCGGGTCCGCTTTATAAAGCGAACTGGTGGGTGTGGGTGGTATTTTTCAATTCAACATGCTACAAGCCCTATATGTTTTCGAGTGCTGGACGAACACCGATATTCCATCGAATTAAACGTAACATTGTATAAAATCGACCGGGCGCACAACAAGCGGATTCGTTGAAAACCGAAATCGACCGGCGGAGAAGGTACACGTCGAAAACGCGGGACGTGCTGAGCGTGGAACCGATACCAAAAACGGTGTAACGTCACGGAGACTTGTGATGGAAAATTGAAACACGACTGGCGTACAGTGCGCGCGCGGACGTATCGTATTGCCGGTACGAGCCTACACGGCGCGGAGAATTCGTTTGTGCACACATATTATGTGTAACTACGTAAACATAAGACCCCGTCGATGTGTACAACAGCGGTTATAATAATAGGTACGTACGCGTTGCGTGCAATAAATTGTTACGTCGGCGAAACGGTGACCGGTGCACGCGTCGTAGGCGTGCGAGTTCCCGCGAGTTCGCGGTCTATACGTACGCGCACGCAACGCAACTATGCGCGGTGTTCCGTTCGCGGTATTCGGTAGTCGCGATAAAAAAATAATACAATAATGCAGTGGTAAAAAACTAACGAACGACTGCGATAACAATAAAAACAACGGTAACAGGTGCAACTGAGGGGTGAAACGAACGCGAGGGGGGCAGGTTACGCGTATAAAGCGATTCTTTCGACGCGGCGGTACGAGTGGGCGCGGTAATATACGTCGCCCGTGAAATTCGGAACGAAACAATGTACTCCTTTGCCGGTTAATTGATATTCGACGCGTCCCTTTGCCCCCCGTACAGTTCGAACTTTTAGAGTTATTACCAGACCAGGCCTCGGATGTTGATGCGTTCGCAACTTTTTTCCCACCGTCCGGCCGTATTGCTGAGTAGTTCGTACATTCGTCACATCCGTTTACGATTCAAAAACCGTTTAGTGCGAATTAATGCGATTTTTCGGCATTTTTTCGATTTAATTGCAATTTTGTTGATTTCCCTCATTTATTATACAATTTTAGACGCCTACTTACTTTTGAATATTATTTACATTACTTATTTTTTTTTTACATGAGAAATAAAATAACAACAAAGGCCGTGTCAAATATTAATACATGCCAGAATAATAATTAAAAAAATTGATTTATGGTTATTTCGGGTTTCATCGATTGTGATGGCAATGGTGGAAATATTTTTTGATAAGTCGGTGTATGAGTTGCACAACTTGCTGTCCTCAAATCGGAGATCTTTCGAGTTTGAGAACTTAAAGAAATAATTTATTATGCAACACAATCATTTTTGAAATAGAGACATTTTAGGTATTCAAAAATAAAATAAAAATTGTTTTAATAAAACATTTTTAAATTCATAATTTTGTTTGTAGGTTTCTGTAATACCAGACTAAAAAATACTATTCCAGTTTGGAATGCATTTTTATTTTGATATCTTTATTAAAGATACTTGTACAATTTTTTTTTTAAATATTTATTTTGTTGAATCAAAAAGTTCATTGCAATTTTTAAATGCAACTATTGGTATTTTTACAGCAATAATGCAATAGATTGTAATGTTTCTTAAAGCAATAACTTCTGAGTTCTAGTTATTTTATATCACTATATTACTCATCGATATTTCTGAACGTTTTTAGATTTATGTGCGCACGTACGTATGCGCTATGACTGTATACCATATACCAGTGCTTCCAAAACTTTTTCGACTCAGGGCGCCCTTTTTGATTTAAGGTTTTTTCAGGGCACCCTTCTCTAAGTCATAGCATGACTAATCATAAGAAAAATGTTAGACCCGATAGTATTTCACGATGGCGCGGCGCCCTTATACAGACATCGCGGCGCACACTTTGGGAACCTATGCCATATACATTTGACGCATCTACCGCAGACGATGACGGTCAATTGGCTTAAATTATTTCAAGTCCGGACAACAGAAATGGTAGTGAAGAGTCTTATGATGTACGGGAATACAATTATTTTAATTTTGAATAAAAACGGTTGTTTGTTCATTATGTGACCTGCCGAGTGAAAATCGAGTTTCATACAATAATACTACGTGACCTACTGGAGTAAATAAAAAACATTACATTGTTCCAACAAGTGCGCGGCCCACACTCGGACAGTTGAATGTCCTCTTGGAATAATAATAAAAACAGCGCGCAAAGGAACTTTGACAAATGTACGTGTCAACGCGATGTTTTATCGAGGCGTTTTCCGACCCGTTTAACCGTCCAGAACAATAGTGCGTTACGCGTTCGACCGGTGTACCAAAAATAATAACTATTTCACTTGATTTTATTTTCAACAACGGACCGACAACAATGCGAATCTCGACGTTATCGGTTGGTAGCCGGCAGACAAGAGTGTTACGGCATCAATGAATAAAACAGATTTGTTTTCATCCGTGACGAAAGACGAAACAAGCAAGGGAAATATTTATACGTCACGGGTGCAATACGAGAAGGAAGGCTGTTCAGTGACGGAGAACCCTATACGAGTAAAATCACGATTCGGGATACGATGGATCCCTGCACCGGCGCGTTCTTAACCGACGGGAGGAGGGTAGATCATCTGGTATGTTTCCTACTAATCGAACGGAGATTATCGAGTCCGATAAGTACAATCGGATATTTGTTTTTGGAGTGGAAACGTGTGCGAACGTACGCGTTGTTACCGGAACAATTTCTTCAGAGACCGTTCGCGGGAAAAGAACTCGTCTCGTAAGTTCGCGGGCGGAGGGGAAAAAAAGACTACGAAGAAACGGTATCAACCGATATTCGGGCGCGACGACCGTAGATAACACAGCGCGACACTTGTCGCGCAACACGACGCACGGCGCCGGCGACGACGCGGAGTGGTCGCAGACGGTCGTCGTCGGCGACGTCCTTGGACAACAGGTCCGCTCGCTGGAGCCCGCGCGGTTGGCGGCACTGCGCGCCAAATCACCGTTCGCTGGGGCCACCGGAGGCACGCCTGTGCGCGCAGATACCCCGTGCGTCCCGTTTGTTTTCCCCGAAACTGTTGTGCCGCGCCGTTGTTTACGTTTCAGTTGTTACTCGTTTGCCCGCCTCCGTCGTGGTGCACGTCCTGTGTTCCGCGCTCGTCGTCCCCGCCGGTGTAACGTACGCACTATATTTACGTAACAAAGAATACGCGATCGAACGTAAACAACGACGGCGGTGATATTTTTTTCGTCGTCGTGCGAACCGTTTGTTGCGGCCGCTAAGACGGACACCGCGGGATTGCCGTCCGTGCCGCTGCTGCCGTGTTGGACGACGTCTGCTTCTGGACTTTCTTGTTCGTGTCCAAGGGAAAACTGGTGAGTTCCCGGATCTGTTACTGCGCGTCCGTGGTGGTCGCCAATCCAAAAGGTCATTTTTTCCTCCTCTTTGCCCAGCCAACAGGGCCGACACAGCCTCCGCCTCGGTGGACATGCGTCCGTCAGAAGTAGGCCATTGCATTTGGCGGGATTACCGATTTCTCTTCGCGGCGGCCTGCGCCACTTCCTCCGCGCGCGCGCTCGCCCCGTCCTGGGTCGTGCACTCCTCTCGGCCTCGCGATCTCTACACGTCCGTGTCCGTCTTGACACGTTACTACTTATCTTAACTCAACAACCCTAGTAAACAGTGTTTGGTGCGCACACCGGTTTCGTTCTTTTCAACCTCTCCGAACGTTTGCCATCGGTTCATCCCGATACAACTGCCTTTTTAAAATTCTCGAAGGTCGTTTCAACTTCAGATGTTTTTGTCTTATAAAACTGCGCGTACCAATGTGGTTAATTGTCAGCTTAATTATTTTAATTTCCGTATGCTTAATAAACTTTATTTTCTGAACCATGAAATTAAGAACCTTGCACCTGTTGAAAACCAGTGGCTATGAAACAAAAAAAACCCTTGTTTAATTGTTGTACAATCAAACATATTTTGTCATATTTTAAATAATTGTTGAAAATATTTTTTTTTCAATAGACGTGTGCAGATAAATATAAAATCTTTAGTTTTCCAACAATGGTAAACATAGGTTCTCATTTAAAGTATATATATTTTTATAATACAATTACCTTATTAAGTATAATCCATGGCATGATTTGATAATTGAATCAAAATATTTAACTAGTTTAAGTACTTCTGTAAGTTTACAAGATATTTTTTTTGATATTTAATTTAACAATCAATAATGTTTTCTATATACATTTACTGATATTATGTTAATTTAATATTATATATTTCTAGATTGAGATAATTATTTATGTAACATAGTTATTATATGTATACAATATATAAATATGATTAGTTGTTTATATGTGATGATGTCGTACGAAAACTGCTCCTACCGATTCATTGTAGACTAAAATCCCTACTATTGTGTTATCGAACAGATAGTACAATATAACTAAATTATATATTTGTGAATGTTATGATACATTATGTTTGTATGTATATCAGTGAATAAGTATTGAGTACATACCAACATTAAGAATACAGTGCTAGGATGTATATAAAATCATAAAAATAGTTCTTATTAAGCAATAAGAATTTTCAAATAAATTTTCAAAAATGAGTGAAATTATAGTGGTTTTGATAATTATGGATTAATTTATAAATATACATTGGAATTAAGCCTAGAATATTTTTTTATCGCAGCACTATTAATGGCATGGTTAAATTTACATGTACTGTACTATAAATTGTCGAATTTATTTTAAATTGTATTTTCATAAAATGTCTATAAAATTTTATTTTATATTTAATGAAAAGACAAAAGTGAAAAATTAAAATTATTTTTCACTTTGGTCTTGTAAATTTTTTTTTAATAGTATTGCATTGAATAGTTAGACATTAACTATTCAATGCAATATTATTAAACAGTTTTTATATTTCTATGGCTTTAAAGGTATGTTTATAGCTTATGACAGAACACCATTTTAAAATACTTTTCTATTATTTAATAAACATTTGGAAAACAGACGCAAAAATATGATTAACTTTTTATTTTTATTATAAGTAGGTATTCTTCATTTTTAATCAAACTTGTTGCATATTTCTTAAAAATAAGTAACTACTTTAATAGTTTTATAATTGTGTGCATAAGATAGACAATAACAGTTAAAATAGGTGTGGCAAACTCGAAAAAATATTACTTATAGTTTAAGTTTTACATTTACTATGAAGTAATATCTGAAGTAATATTGAAAACATTTTTGCTTATTAAATTTAAAAATGTATTTTTAATTTTTACTATTATTATAAATTATGGTTTGTTTATGTTGTCTTTGATTAAAAAATGTGTGGTTACTTTTTATTGAGTATTTATTGGTGTTTGTTATTGGTGAATACGTTTATTTCAATAGTGTATGCATTCCAAAATAATACTTCATATATTATGTTTCATGATAAGAGATTACTGATTTATAATATTTTATATTACCATTCTTCAAAGTTATTGCATTCGTCGTTAACATTAAGATGAAAAATAAAATGTTTTTACTTTCAATAATTGAAAGCAAAAATATTATCATTAATATTTAAAAAAAAAAAATTAATTTTTAGTTTGTTTAAAACGTAAATAGATAATTAGAATAAATTTAAACCGAAATTGCATGTTTCGTCATTGAAATATAATTAAAATGTTTAAAGTAAAAAATGTTAATAGATAAAATTAAAATAGTTTTGCATGTTTCATCATTTGAATATCGATAATTTAATATTCAATTTAATATGAATACGTAATTGATTTTGAGACTTAAATTCTTTCAAATCATTAAAATGTCATAATGTGCTTGATTGATTCTACTTTATTTTAGCAAATAATTACGTAAAACTTTTTTTAATAATGATTTAATTAATCTTATTTTTGTTAATTTTCCAGAAAATTGAATATTTACAAAATAATATAAATAAGAAACTTAAAGTTATTTAGAAACGTATTATTTTGTAAAAAATCCATATTATCCAAAATCCATCTTAACTAATTAAATTTAATCATAACATAAAATGTCATTGGCTGGTGGTTTTATCATGTGTTCGCATCATTGTATTTGTCCCCATGCTTATTGCGAAAAAATAATTATAGAATGGTTTTTCATAAAGTTATAAAATATACTAGTTTTTTGAACAATATTCGCTGCTGATTACAATTACTTGCTAATCATAATTCCATTATTATATTTCTTGCTTGTTCTAAAAATGCTCTACATTTGAGAACAGAAAAATAATCAGTAAATATTAATTATTCAATTCGTTAATGCTTTGTCGGTGTATAGTAAGCATATACTATTTAATTACTATACATTATTTATGGGACCTTGATAAGTAGAAGAAAAAATGACCATCTTGAAATGTTGTCACACGCCTATTTCCGAGCCTATTTCGTTTGGTGTCATTAAATTCTTGATAATTCAAATTATTCCGGCTATTTTTATACTTATTATCCCTTCTCTTTAATTTTCGACGTTTAAAATATTGAATTGAATTTATTAAGTCATAAGTTATCATTTTTAAATAACTGAAAGTTTTAGCCACTACTTTTGTTTATTTGATTATCACGAAGAATTTTATAATTATATCGATTTTTGAATCCTTACAGTATAAATATAACCTTAAACCTTGTTAAAACCTAATCAATTTTATTTAATACCTACTCAAGAATTTAAATATTAAGCAAATACTTGTTACCTTTTTATTTATATCGATTTATAATTTGCTTATAAGATAGAACTTATAAGTTTAATTTTAACTTAAATTTGCGATCGAATTAATTAAATAAATCTATATATATATATATATATATATATATATATATATATATATTAGATACCACTCACTCACTGATCAGCTAATAGCCGAAACTACCCTACGGATTCATTTGAAGTTTTGAAGGAATATAACTTTGAAAATTGCATTTTTAAAGATTCACAACAGCTTTGACCCTCAAATTGGATGTATACATTTTTCACTTTTTGTCTTTTGTTTACCTTGGAAACATTTTATAGTAAATATTATTATTAATTATCTCGTAAATTATAATGTATGATGATTGTTTACTTTTCTAACTAAATTATTTTTTACATAGAAATAGTAATTATTTTTATCTAAAATATTGAAATATCTCCCGGCGAGGCTGGGCATTTCAGCTAATATATATATTATACAAAATGTTAAAATTGGATTTACTAACTAAAGTGTAATTTTTCTTTTGTGTTGTGTTATTTTTAACTTTTTAAATATTTAACGATGTTCTTTTACAACTTTTTTGCGACCTTATCGTTACAAGTTGAAAAAATAATGCTTAAATTTAAAATTCTTGTAGAATATATTTGTCACAAAAAACGCAGAATCTTAAATAGAAAAAATGTATGGTAAGAATCCTGGTAAAAATAAAGTTTTGAACTGATTTGATAAATATTTAAAATGTATTTTGTTCAGTCAATAATTTAAGTATAAAATACAATACATTTTATATATATAATACATTTTTAATTGTATTATGATTGTTGTTGTTTTGAAATTGTGAAAAATATAACCCGACCTAATACGACACTTTATTTATGTATTTATGGTATTTTAAATAAAATATTAATACTTATTTAAAGTTAAAACAAAATAATCTTTTTATATTCACAATTTAAATTGGGGTTCTTATTTATACTATGAGAAATAGTCCCTGCAGTGTAAACCATTCTTATTTTTTTTTTATTAACCGTTTGTATTTATACCTACTTCCTATATATTTTGCTATACCTCGTACGATCTGATCGTACAAGACCATGACATCACGCATCTGTGGAATCGTTGACCTCACTGATCCCGAACACAGACTAGCTACAATTGGCCATCCATTTTAGCATGTGTTTAAAACTAGTTATTTATTTTTTACTCTACACACATAACATCTTTATCTTTTCACAGCTTTCATGCTATAAAATGTCAAGACACTATATTACAGATTTCACTTGCCTCCTTTCCATTTAATGCCCACAGGCTGAATAACAGTTTACTAGTTATAAATATTTCTATTGAGTATTTATTTAAATACCCGTTTATTTGTTTTTTCGCCTAATTTTATAAAATGTATAATATTATCGTGAAAATATTTTTTATTATCTTGGTGGGTACACAAATCACAGATTTTACCATGAAGGTACTTATACACTTAATGAATTAATGATTACGGACCTTAAGTTATTGAATTTTTAATAAATTAAATATATTTTCTACAATAATTTTTAAGCTGTACTCATTTAAACACTACTAACCATTCTGAATTTAATACGCTTAGAAATATAGTTTTCTTTCTAAATTTATCTATTGCATTTTGATCTAGATTAATTACTTATGGAATAATTGATAGCATTTAAGTGTTTAATTTTATATTATACCTATGGTATTATGAAAAAAGAGCAATTAATACCTACCTACTCTATACACCTATAGATATTTTGGAAAGTTATTTTAAATACTAATCATTAAGTATAATATATAGATAGTTCCATTTTTCTTCCATTATTTATATGGGTTTTATATTATTAAATTAATAACAACAAAAGTAATTTAAGCAGGTATATAATATTAATCTTTGTGGATTTTAATTTTAAAATAATTTTTATTATCGCACTAATTCTAGTAACTATCATGTTATTTATAGCTTATTCGTTTTAATTGAGATGATTGTTAATATTTATTCTGTTATATATAAGCTATTATTAAAGACATATTTTATATTTAAAGTTTCACTAATCACATGCAATATTTGACATAAATAATGTATACTTATAGAGAATACAAACAATTTGACGAAACAAAATTTGTATTCACTTAAGTTTTCTCACTTTTATTTCGATTGATCATGACCTAAAATTTGTCACCAATTTGCCACACCCCTTTAATATAACTGTGATTTGTCATGCTCTATTTAATACAAATGAATAATGATGCTGTTAAGTTCTTGTAAATTGTTGTCTTTTATATGCCTTAAACCACATTTCTTGTATCACCACTGACGACGCGAAGCTGAATGGTTATTTGGAACTATATTTTAATCCATCACTCTATTTATGAGTCACGAACCATTTACCTTGCCATTGTATCATTATCTCTTGTAAATTCGTAAATACTCAACTATCTATTATACATTTTTAATAATAGTAATACGTTTTATGGTCTCCCTAACATGGTTTGAAGTATAAAAATAAATTATTGTTACAATTAACTATGAATACATTTGATATTTATGTTGCATTATGGTGATATTAATAGTAGTTACAGTTAATATAAAATAATAAAATTCTTTCTTGTAGTAAATTACTTATTGTGGCTGATAAGGTTTCAAAATATTTGTGAGACAATAAAAAAAAACATTCTCTGTTTAAGAATTATATGGTTATAATTAATATTGAACATAGGTAATACAAAATATCTCCCGGTGAAGTATAAAAGAACTATCGATTTGATAATATTTAAAGGGTTCAAAAAGTACCCTCATGAAATTATTTAGTTTCGTTTAAACCTAGCGCTTTACACTCGGTATATTTATGAAATATTGAAGCGGTTATTGACTTTACACACGTGCGTGAGCGCCACTCCTTTCCTTTATGATGGTTCTCTTTCATTTGTCCTCCGTGTGTATCGAACAAACTATTAGAAAGAGGTAGGTAACACAATAGGTAGGCAGCGAAATTTTACGACAATAGGCATAAATCTGGAGATAATAAACTACTTTTGTGGAATTCTATTTGTAATGTTTTTATTTAAAAATATATTTTGGTCAATAATTTATTATAAATATTTTTAAGTATCATAATTTTGTTATTAATTAGGAACTTGTTGATACTTAATTTTTATACGCTGTTGGTTTTCCTATACTAGTTAAATTGTTTGTTTAATTATAACTTCTTAGTCTTTGAAACTGGATTTATTTATTTAAAATTGTTGATAGTTGTTTTATCGTAGGTATTAATGTAAATAGTACATAATTATAATTAATAATTATAATAGTATATAATTCAATTTTGAAATATTCTAAAATGTCAATACACATTTGTATAGCAATACTATATTACCATATGATATTAATGCTAAATCATTAATATCTTAATTTTCCCTTTCAAGGGATATTTCTTTTAATATAATAGAATATGCAATATTATAATATTTACTTGGCTTTGTTGAACACGTATCTATCTGCATACGAGAGTTAAGCACTCAACTGGTCAGTCTGTCATTTATTAATAGGTCAACGCTAGTTTAGTAACTGTTTATTTGTCGAAATTAAAATGACATTTTTATATTGACCGTGACTCAATATTCTATTGATGGTTAACATAGTTTCGTTTGAAATTATAACTATACCTAATGTAAAAATATATACGCTAGTATTCATACAACAACTCGGATTGCTATTATTTATTTAATTCAGTACTCGTACCTATTTACTCCATTTGAAAATACATACTGATCATCTTGAACTAAAAATGATTTACATTTTTCCTTTTAAATTTTGTTCGATTAAATTTGGTTGTGCACAGTAATTAAAAGTTATAACATGTAGGTTTGATTAAATATAGCTATTATGTACAGTTTACGAAAACACGAATAATAATATGAATTTGAAACATTTTACTTTCTCACTTCCATTAAAAACTTAAAATGACAATAGGTCATGAAACACTCCCCTATTTATATGTGTTGGCGTATAATAAATTCATTAAATTACTTTTATATTGTACTATATTTTAAACGCGAGTTGATAAATGTTAAATCTATTGTATTGTTATAATTGTTATATTCATACATACGTAATCCAATGTTTTATAACAAAACTTGAGTGCGTGAGTGTAGAGTTTATAAATGACTAGTAGATTTTTGTAGGTTGAAAATTAAAATTAATTTAGCTTATGGTACGTTTTCATTCATTTTGGATTTTTCTATGTATGCTCAATAACTTTTATTTTATGTTAATATTACGTAAAAATATTCAGACTTTATACAAAATTAACTGAAACATAACGTGCTAAGGATCAATTTGTAAAATGAGGGTGGTTACTCATTATTTTAAGCCTTCCTGGCTTCGTGACTTTCTTGCTCGATAGTACGTAATTTAATAATATCATATATTTTTTATGACTAATGCCCAAAATAAAGTAATCATTTTCAATCAGTATAATGTGTATAATCTAGTTTTTTCTAAATATTTAGAGTATATGTACTATCAAATTATTGTTTAGGTGTGGTATTTTTTTTTTTTTAGATTGTGTTGGAAGTAGTGGTATTTTAAAATGTGAATTTTGTATAATTCTTATAGCAATATTTTTAAAATTTTATCATTTTCACAATCTTGCTTTATACGTTTATTTATGTATTTTATACCATAAGATAATTTTGTAACAAAATTAAATGTATTTTCTTATTAAAAGGTACAATTTGGCTCTCTTCAATTTTAATTATTCATGTTTAACCAGTGGTAAGGAATATTCCCCCCCAATTCTTAAAACTGAGTTTATTTATTATTTTAATTAATTGGTAGGTATTTATAATTTAATACTTACATATTATAATAATTTGTGTTAAATATTTTTCATATTTAATTCATTTTTTTGTTTTTTTTATAATCTGAGAATTAAAACTTTGGTAGTTTTTTATTAAGAGCTCAGATTTTTCTTATAAACATAAATTAAATGTTATAACAATTAAGTAAAACAAATTTGTATTACTATTTAAATAGCTAAATAAATATAATTTATCAAATTCATTAATCATTTTTTAATTTGTTAATAGATATAATAAAATGACAGCCATGGAGAATGAATCTGCAGATGGGAATGTTTCACCAAAGAAGAAATTAATTCGTAAAGGCAAAACTGCACTTGCTCGTGTTCTTTTATTAGACGGCTCATATTTAGATATTCAAATTGATGTAAATATTTTTTTCTATTTTTTCTGAACTTTATCTTAATTTTTTAATTCTAACCTAAATTTAAATGAGTACTTATTTCATATTGTTAAAATATATATTTATAAACATGTATGTTTTGAAAATGCAGAGAAAAGCTAAAGGGCAGGAGTTATTGGATCAAGTATGTGACCAGTTAAATCTATTAGAACGTGATTATTTTGGATTATCCTTTGAAGACCGACGTGATTCTCATAATTGGCTTGAAATGGATAAGCGCATAGGAAAATTTTTAAAAAGTGAGTTTAATTTTATATTTTATTGTTCAAGTTATTCTTATTTTAATCATTGTCTTTAGCTGAGCCGTGGTTGTTTAACTTTGAAATGAAATTTTATCCTCCTGATCCCAACCAACTCCAAGAAGATATAACTCGTTATCAATTATGTTTACAAATCAGAAACGATATTCTTAATGGAAAGTATGTAACTTTTCAATTTTTTTTTTTTTGCATAATTAATAGTTAATTTGCTGTACTAGATTACCATGTTCATTTGTCACTCATGCACTTTTGGGATCTTACTTGGTTCAATCTGAATTAGGAGATTATGATATTGATGAACACAAAAATAACATTGATTATTTAAAAGAATTCAAGTTTGCTCCAAATCAAACACAAGAGCTTGAAGAAAAAGTTATGGAACTCCATAGAACACACAAGTAAGATTATATAAAAATATTTTATTGGAATAAAATTGTTATTATAGTAATATTTTATGAATTAGAGGTCAAACACCAGCAGAAGCAGAGTTAAATTATTTAAACAATGCCAAAAAATTGGCTATGTATGGTGTTGACTTGCATCCAGCTAAAGATTCTGAAGGAGTAGACATAATGTTGGGAGTATGTTCATCTGGTCTACTTGTCCATAGAGATAGATTACGCATCAATCGATTTGCATGGCCTAAAATATTGAAAATTTCATATAAACGTAATAACTTTTACATTAAAATTCGTCCAGGAGAATTTGAACAACAAGAAGCAACTGTTGGTTTTAAACTACCTAATCATAGACTTGCTAAAAAATTATGGAAAACATGCGTTGAACATCATACATTCTTTAGGTTTGTTTATAATATATCATATTTAATTACATATCTAATTACCTTAGTTTATTTGGTTCATGTTTATTATAAATTAGATTAATGACTCCTGAGCCAACACAAAAATTAGGATTGTTCCCCCGTTTGGGTTCCCGATTCCGTTACTCAGGTCGTACTCATTATGAATCTAAAAAAACACCAATCGAGAGACCTGCACCAAAATTCCAAAGAAGCTTAAGTGGTAGAACATTAACTTCTAGAAGCATGGATAGTAAGAATTTTTTCATATTATTCTGTATATTTAAATGAATTCAATTTTCGAAATTAAAGCTTTAGGAGGAACTAGACACTTGGGAGAAGATTTTGGTATGGAACCTGAGTCTAAAAGACATACAATGTCTCATCCCCCTGATCGTGTTGCTGACATAGACAATAATATCGGAAAAAGTGGAAAACCTAATAAAAGTGATAAGAAAAAGGTATTTAATTTAAACTATAATAAGTGTATTAATAATAAGAAGCTAGCTAAGATCATTTGAAAACTAAATCCCAGTTATAAGTTAATAATTATATTAGATTTCTATAATATATATTTTTATAACTTATTATTGGAAACTTAATAGCTTAAAGAAAAAGTGAGTTTAAGTTCTCATGACAGTTCTATAACAGAGGAAGGCAATTACGAGGCTGAACGGAGCAGCTCAGACACTCATAAGCCTAAGGTATATAGTTTGATGGTTTATTCAAAATTATATGCACTCATTTTTTTAACTGATTAGTTGACTTAAATATTTAAACATGTTCATTTTGCATTGTGTATATATTAAGGATATCTTAAATGATAATTTTATTGTTATGTTATGGTCAACTTTTCAATAATTTACTTTGCACATACAATTTAATTATATTTAATTATATTTCTTCAATTTTTTTATAAGTAATTTTGTTTTTCACTTGATAAAAAAAAATATTAATGGTCTTTATCTAAATATGAAGACATTAGTGTATATTGTATGATCTAGTGTCATCACTAAATTAAATAATTAATTATAAATAAACTATATAAAAGAGTAATTATATTTATATGCATTTATTATTATTATTATTTGATATATGTATATATAATTTAATAAATGAAAAAAAAAATTTCCATTATTAAATTAGTTTTATTTTTGGGAAATTTTTATTTTTATAAATACAAATATTATTCATAAATATATATTTAACTAAAAAATTATAAAATAAAATGTCTTTGTACTGTAAGTCATTTTATCGACAATTGAATTACATTTACAGAATACTATATTAATATTATTATGTCTTCTTATCAATTATAATTTCACATATTTTCAGAAACCAATTGGAGGAATAGCTGTATTACCAACAGGATCATTTAATTTCATGAGAAGAAAAAAAGATAATAATGTTACCAACATTTCAAAGTAAATATATTTGATGTTAGATGTTTGATACGTTATACCATATATATATTATTTTGTTTAAGTGGAATTGGTGGTGAAGAAGATGATGAAAAAGAAAATCATGAAACTTCACCTTCTATTAAAACTACAAGTTTTATGACAAAAGAACGTGAAGCCTTATCTGCAAATGACACCAATACAAGTGCAGATATTTCTGGCATAAATTCATTAGATACTTCAAAAGCAGATTCTACTAAGGAAAGTGGAAAGAATAAATTAAAGGTAAGCATTAATTTTCATTGTAATGGATTTATTTTAGACCGGGTGTTGTTTAAATTATTTTTGTTTTTATTTTTGGTAATTTTATTTTAAATATATATTATGATTTGACAGAAGCTTGAATTTTTTGTTTTATTTTATCTTATACTGTATTGACTCATTTATATTATTTTTTTATTTATTATTTTAGTTTTTTATGGTTTGGTTTGTTTTTTCGTAGAGTCCTGGCGGTATTTTTAGCAGTTTTAGTTTAAAATCTAAAAAATCTAAAGAGAAATTGAAGGCTGATAATAGCTTAGATACAAGTGCTGAACCTGAATCCCCTAAAGGACTAGACAAGTTTAAATTAAAAACTAAAAAAGATTTAAAAAAACCTAAAAAAGAATCCAAAACAAGTCTTAAGTCTGTTGATAGTACTTCTACCAATTTATCATCAAATGCCACTTTTGCTGACCGTTCATTGGCTGAAACTACTGTTAACGTATCTGCTATTTCTACGTCCCCTAGTTTTACTAAAACGTATGATTATACAGAGGATGAACATGGTGTTACTAAAAAACGCAAACCAGTTGGTGGGTTTACGTATGAAAGTAATATACAAAAGTCTAAAGAAAGTATTTCAGAAATTCCAACATCACCGAGCAAAAGAGCACAAGGACTAGCATTTAACTATGCACCAGGAGAAGGGAAAAAAGTTGCGGAAACTGCTGCTGAAAAAAGAAAGACATTTATGGAGAAAATTGCTACTGATATTAAAACACCAGGTATTAACTATGTGCAATCTGCTGCGAACAAAGAAGAATCTGTTAAAAAAGAACCTAAAATTAGTGCTGAGACAAAATTGGATCACAAAACAAGCGTTGAGAAAAAATTGGATCAAAAAACAAGTGTTGAATCAAAAGTAGAACCTTCTGATGAAATCAAGTTTACCAAGACTGTATTGGAGAAAAAAGTTACCTCAGCCAATGCTGAAACTATAGTTGAGACTGAGAAGAAAAAAATTGATCCAAAATCAGGTATTTTTAACAAAAAACCAAAAGAAAATGATAGTGGTAAAGGTGTATTAGGTAAAGCTATGGACAAATTAGGCTCTTTTGGAAAGGGATTCAAGGATAAAACTGAAGTAGATGTAAAAAAAGAGTCGTTAGACTTTATAGAAAATGAAAAAAAAATGTATGAAGATGATAAACCTACAGGTGTTAATACTGCACCTTTGATTGTTAAAACTACTACCAAACAAACAATGATCAAGGATAAAGAGGGTGTTACTCAAAATATTGAGGAAAAAGTTGAAGATTTAATGTCTGGTGAAGTTACTGTATCAACTCAGCACAATAAGGTAAAATTAGCTGGGAAATGGTGTATGTATTTTTTTTTTTTACTTTTGCATGGTTTTGTTTTATGCTTTTAACGCTTAGGCTGAAGGTCTGGATACTACTGCTCCTACTACTACTTCTGGTAGGCCTCCGTATGTAAAGGCAACTGCTGTGACTACCCGAACAGCCACTACTCATCAGGATTTAGAAAAAAATTCTAAAACAAGTCAGGTACAATGAATTTTAGATTATTTTATAACAAATTAATTTGTTTAAACTTGATTGTTTGGAAATGTATAAGTATTATATATTGTATTATTTTGACTAGGTTGAAGAAAAAACTGTAGCACATACAACAACAACCAGTGGAACTCGCCAAGAGCAAAGAACTGTTACACAAGAAGTAATTTCTACATCAACTATTCTAGCACCAGAATCAAAAGTCGAGGTATGTTTTTTCAATTTTTTTTGTTTTTTTTACTTCCATCTACATGTATGCGACTTGATTTATGTTTAAAAGAAATAAATACAATACTATATATAATGGCTATAAATTTAGATTATTATTATTTTCTTGAGATTTTTTTCTATTGTATAAATAATTAATAATATTGTACTTTGATAGACTTTATTTGTACATTGAAAGGAGAAACTTTTTTTTATCAATTTACTTCTGTTTAATATGTTTACTGCTTACCATTATTTTACACTTACTCTGACCAATTTTTAAAATTATTTTAAAAGAGTATTACATTTTTTTTCCATATATATTTTACTAAATCTTATAATAAACAATATAGAAACTACAATAGATAAATAATTAATTAAAACTTTATAGTAATCATTAAGTTTATAACGCCAATCAACATTTTCTCTTTACAAACGGGGACTCTTAAAGTGCCAATCAGCATTAAACATGTTGAATGTATATTTTATACACAAATGTTATAATTTATTAAACAGTAAATTTTAACAATAACTTTTATATTATTTTTTGCTCGTGGATTTTTTTTTTTTTTTTTAGCATGTTCTATATATATATATATATTTTTTTACATTATTTGCATGGAAATAAACAGCTAAATAGAGCTTCAAGTAGTTCAAGTCTTAGCTCGAATGATTCAGGTACACCAATTGACATCGAAGGTCCATTAGATGAGTCTAATAATATAGGATATTATAATAGCAATTTTCAGGTAACAAATTATTTGTTTTAAAATTACTTGTTTATATAACTAAATAACATAATTAAATTGTTAATATTAATTTTGGGCTTTTTTCCTTCAGGATGAGTTCAAGGCCGAACATGCAACGGCTGGATTGAACACAGCTGAAGAGCGACATAACATAAACATCACGGCTAACGATAAGTCATATACACTTACTGGAGAGATTATTTCTACACAGGCCATTTCTAGCAAAACTCGTACTGTTGAAACTGTAACTGTAAGTTAAATAGACAAGTGGATTGCATGTCATCAATTTTTTTTAACTTTTGTTAATTTTTCTTTTTTTATATCAAGTACAAAACTGAAAAAGATGGCGTAGTTGAAACAAGAGTTGAACAAAAAATAACCATACAGAGTGATGGTGATCCAATTGATCATGACAAAGCACTAGCTGATGCCATACAAGAAGCTACCGAAATGAATCCTGATATGACTGTAGAAAAAATTGAAATACAACAACAACAAACATAATCAACTTGTAAAGTTTTTATTTTAATTATTTTTATCAAAATTTTTTTCGATTTATATTTTTGCATTTTATCAAAATATTTGATATTCCATTTTTAATATTTCAAATTATTTAATATTAATTTGTTTTTTTTTTATTATTATTATTATTATTATTATTATTATTAATAAGTCTATTATGATTGCTCTAATTATGTGTTTTGTAATATTGACCAACTAAGTTTACATTTATATTATTATTATTATTATTATTAATATTATTATAAGTATTATTATTTCTGAAGATTCCATCCATATTTTATAAAGTATGTATATTGTAATAATTAGTTATTTCAAACCACCAATGTGCTGAGATATTATAACATTCCAATAATTATATATATATATGTTGTATATTATATTTTTTGTTAATTTAATATTATATTATTAACAAATGTTAGTGCTTTTGTTTATAACATTGTATAAGTGTTCATAATGTAATGTAAGAAGGGTGGTTCAAAGATATTACAAATTGTTATCTCTTGGCTAGGAAAATAATAAAAACTTTCGAAGTTGAATGTATAGAAATGTTTAAAGTATTTTCCAACATATCAGTTCCTTTTATTGGAAGTTATTTGTGTTCTAAGATTTGGTTATAACATTAATTAAGTACAATTCGTAAAATATAAGTTAAATTTAAAAATAAATAAATATATTTATATTTTTTTACTATATATTATACAATTTAATTTTTAATTTATGTTGAAATCGTCTAATGATTATAGTGAACAAATTTGTTGTATTAACAAATGTATCAAATCATTAATTAAGAAACTAATTTTTTCATTTATTTATTTAGTCTCAAGTCTAAATATGAATCAATATTAAATTTTTTTAGTAAATTTTAATAATTGTATCATTATTTTTATAATAGAATTAAGACATACATTTTTATTATTATAATTTTTTATTTATTTATTTTTTTTTTTTTGAACCGCCCTAAATAAAATTATTAGTAGTACAAGTTCATCAGTATTTTGAGCTTATTCTATTACACTAATTTTATTTGAATTGTTTGAATGTAATTTCAAAAGATATTAGGTAGAAAAATAATACATGGCCCTGTTATTCTGAAAATCTATTTTTTATTTTTTCTTTACTCAACCAGTATAATTGTTTTGTACTTTTTTTGTCTTTTAAATTTAGTCCCAAAAATTGTTGCGAATTGACAAGGCTCTCATTGTAATATACTTATAATATAGTTTATTTAAATCCCGATGTATTTATGATATCCATTTGCAAGTGTTATGTTGTTATTTAAACATTTTAATTTTATGAATTTTAATTTATAAATTCACTTTAATTTTTATTTTTTTTTTACGATTATTTATTTATTTATTTATTTATTTATTTAATACTATTATAAATTTTCAGCTGATTGTTTTTTAATTTATTTTACTACAAAAATAAAATTGCATTTGCCTATATAATAAACCCTCTTAACTGTTTGTATGAAATTATTATTATGTGATATTGTTTTGCTGTTGAAAAGTTTATCAATTACCAAAATTATAGTAATATATTTACCATGGATTTATATAAATTTAACAATATTAATATTATTATTAAATGGAAGTGAAAACAATTCTTTATAATATTATTAAATAATATATGAATGTAGTATACATAACATTACCATGACGTGTTTTATTTGTTAATACCTTGTACATGGTTTTTTCTGATGTTGTATGTAATATACACTTCTTGACTGGATATGATTTTCAGTGCAAATATATATCTTACACGATGTTACCTCTAAATGTAAGGTCACACGAGCGTTGTATTAACAGACGTTACTTTTCCAGTCACACTAGCTAGGGGCAACGTCAGTTTTCATCAAAATGGATGACGAGGAGTTTGCGATTTTTGTGTATATTGCTTTAAAAATTATTCACGAAAAAAACGTGTGCAAAGAAAATGGTGGGTGCACCCAATTAATAGTGAAAGATTATTGCATTGTGATTTTTACACACTTTATAGTAAATTACGAGATTACAGTGTTATTTGAAAAATGTTCATGTAAAGCAAACGTAACTCAACAAATCTTCATTTTTTTTATTTCTATGTTTATAAGATTCATCAGACGTGTCCCACAATACTGGTCGTTTTTCAACTTCCGTTATCAGTTTCTCAGTAGTCTCCATACTGAACAACTTTAAGTATAAAAAATTTAATTTAAAATTAATAATATATCATCTTCTACAAGTGAAAAACATGAACTAACATACTGGAAAATGTACAAGAACGGACGTCAATACAACGTTCGTCTGTCTTTGTCAATTGAATCTAATAATAATCTACAACGCTGATAAACTAATCGTAACGGACGTCGTAACGTCTGTTGATAAAACGCTCGTGTGACCTTACACTAAATAGATTTGGGATTCTGAAATTTTATTTCATGAAATGTTTCATACACATTTATTATCATAGTTCAGCTTGGATTAGTTGAACTATTTGCAATAATTAATATTTATTTTATTTTAAACCTAAAGATGGTGTTAATAAACTGATTTTACGATCACAGACGCGTGGGCCGTGGCTGTTGTTGGAATTATATTAATAAACATATTAACTAGTGCTGCGAAGTCAAAATTAGATTGAATCGTGTCCCGAAAAAATTACTATTTATTCAATGTTAATAAATTAAATAAAAAAAATCGACGGGAAACAAAAATGTTTGACATAATTGAATGTTGAACCTACGAGTGATAGGGGCAAGAAAATTGGTTACTTTTAACTCGTTGGAATATCTTAACTCTTATTCTTAATATATTTATTTCTGAAATTTATAACTTTCATAAAAAATGATTAATTTGAAATATCTATCCATCAGTCCATGATTTTCATTTTCCTTATTATGTAAAAGTTGTAGTAAATGCATGTAGTTGTCAGAGTATGTTAAAATTTAAAAAAAATCATAATAATTTAATTGTTAATATACAATTTTACAAAAAAGTTATAAAAATGTTTTAATTTTCGGGCATTTTAAGATATTAGAAATTTTTGTTTTTTAAACTTTTCGTAAAATATTTATAACATTTCGGTTCGACAAAGAATCTTAAACATTTAATTAAAAGTTTTTTATTAATTCATTTTGTGTGTAAAAAAAATTCGCAAATTTTAATCAACAATTTTATTTTTTAAAAATATCCATAAGAATTTGAAACTTGAATAGATTAATTATCTAATAACATTATTTATGTTACGCCTTGTCAGGGGTATAGATTTTTATCTAGCTTATTATAAGTTTTGCTACTGATTTTGGATAATATCTTAATTTCGAATTTTATTCACCTATGATTAATATTACCCAACTACACATGGTTAATGAATAAATTATCTATACAAATAATTTAACGATATGTCATTCAAAAAATTGCAATTTAAATTTTAAAACGATGAGTGTAAATATGACAAAAAAATAAAATATAATAAAATAATGACTGGAATTTAAAGCGACCAACATTTTTGAAAAAATAAGCATTTGAGTAGATTCAATTTTTTTTTATTTATTTGTTATAACATAATAAACTACTATGGAATTTTTATTGCACAATAAAGATAAACTTTTACATTTGCCACTCATCAATTTTTTATTTATACAAACACCTTTATAAAAACATTTTTAAAAACTTTGATTTCCTAAAAATTATTACATTTTAAATTTCTCTCGGTGATTTGGAATTTTTTGAAATATGTATCTTCGATACTAATGAGATTGGTTTTGGATAGACAATAAATTAATTTCTCCCATTTACTTGAGTTAGTGTACCACTTTTGTTTCCTAGCTAAACATTTTTATTTATGCCGATATCTATAATGATAAAATGTATGTATACATAAATATGTGTCTTGGATATAACTAAATTTTAAATTTTAGTTAATCTAATTTTTAGGTTCAATTACTTTTTTATTGTTTGATTTTTGATCATTTGAAGTGTTGATACTGTTTAGTAAACCGTGCAGCCGTCTTCTATAATTACTTATTGAATTGCACACGATACATTTTAAGACCACAGACGGTGGTCGACGACGTATGATTTAAATTTTAAAATATTGTACGATTGTAATTAGTTTTAAATGTATGGCTAATGCATTTTGTCATAGTGGTTGTTTCGGCAGTTCGTATTCATTTTGGTACTAGTCTTATATGCTACCTACTGTAAAATGATACCTACCAAAAAAACGTTTACTGATTATTAACAAATTAACAACAATATTTTTAACAATTTATTACTCAATAATTTATTAATTCAGGTGAATGCAAATTTAATCAGTGAATTAATTTTTGTAGACATATCAAGCATGATTTTGAACTATGATTATTATTGTTAGTATTTTATTTTCCACCCCCTAAAAAGTGACAAACATTTTTTCGCTAAACATATATAACTAAATATAAAAACAGCATATTTTACTTTTAACTTCTAAATCTATTTTATCCCAATTTAGTGAAAATTCGTCATAGTCACACTCTTGGTTATCTTGAAATATTTCATCATCATTATACATTTTTGAAGTAATTCAACTCGGTGACTTTGCAATGTTGTCATATATTTTAGAAAAATGGTTCAATTTAGACACTAATATCTGGTGGTATATTGATGATAATTTTTTTTAATGCTGATTCTAGTTAATTATTGGTAAATTTTTTTGATATATGAAATGTATGAATCCGATAAAATTAAAGCGATTGAATTAAATATTTATGAAAATGTTTCCATTCAAAATGGAGAGGTAAAACAAATTAATACAAGCCAACTATAAAGAGTTTTGTCAAATAATTTAGGGAATCGGGTGATAACAATCAATTAATCACATATAAGCAGTTAAAAAGCAAAATATCAATAGGAGAACATATATAATTATACAGAATTACTCAACGGTCTAGATGTACTAGATTTAAAAAAATGGTCCATTTCTGAAAATGGTAAAGCAGAAAATATAAAATTTGGAGATGATAAAATACGTTATTCGCGTCGCCAGTTTCAG